TAGACCAGTATTTGACTTCAAAGAATTCTACTCTTGAGTTTTTCTTTTCAGTAACAAAAGCATTTCTCAAAAGCCACAGGTCAGAATAAAACAGATTATGCTTTATTCTGTGACAGAACGCTTGGTCTGATCACTGTCGGTTGAGAGCTGATTGCAACTGGGGAGACATCTGTGCATCATTCATTTCCTTGGCAAAATTAGATTTAGTTTCCATTAAGGAGTGATTTAAATTGTGAATTGTAGAGATTATGAAAAAAGTAATTTCCTATGTGTAGGACCATTACTTGTAAACTTCAGAGCTAAAATCTGTTTCCAAAGTGGCCAGCTTTAATTGCTTTTGCAAAAATTAATGTGCAGGCACAGTTCCAGCTGTCTAGACATGCACCTTTTTGTTCAGAGACAAGAATTTTCTTTCTAGGCCTCCGCTTTTCCCAATCCATTTAAAATACACTGTTGTTGAGTAGGTTTGTCAGAAGAAATGCAATATCAAAACCCGTTATATTTGATCTTTCTATTTTTAATCCACTTGTATTTTTGGCTTCTGGAGTCAGATGAGTGTTCCAGGAACCTTATGTTCTCTGTCACTATTTTTTTAAATATATATAGTTTTTATTTTAAGCATTTAGTTCCTTTACTCATTGAAATTAGGCAAGAAGCATCCTTGAAGTGGAGGAAAATAGGTCTGGAACACAGTATTTAAGGCTTTTTCCCACATGAATTTCCTGATGACCTATAAACTCTTGAAATCCAAGAAATTTCTCTTACCTTATCTGACTGGTTCCTCCATGCTCAAGAATGCATCATTCCCTTACTTTGAAAATCCAAGAAAATTAGCAGGAAGCTTGCATTCATGAACAAGGTGCTTCTGATTCAGCTCAAAACACGGAAAGGTGGAAGCAGGACACGTGACATTGTCTGGAATAAGGAAGACTTTTCCTTGGTGGAGGAAGATCAGATTAGGAATGTAAAAACAAACTGGACATAAAAAAGTTCTGTTTTAAACTCCCAATTGGTTTTTCAACCTTGAATTAACTAATAACTCACTTAAACAAGATGCACTGAAAGAAAACACTCCTATACTGAAGCAGACTTTAGACCTTTGCTGGTAGTTTAATAATCACATGTCAATGGATTTAGGGTGGTCTGGATCCATTGCAGTTTATTGACCTGTAAAATAATTAAGCAAAATTTTAAATAAAACAGACTTCTCAAGGTTTTTATTTTATGCCACCATGTCAATGATGACAAAGAAAGCCAAAAGCCTCCAGTAGAATTGTGGGTATTTGTCTAACTACTTTAAATTGTTGAGTTTGAACAAAATCTCACAAAGAATAAATCCCAATTTTTACATAGAGTAAAATCAGTTATCTCTGTGTACTTTCCTGTTCATACCACGAAGTTATTTTCCTGGTATATCTTATGTTTAGTGCACCTTGATTGGTTCATGGGAGATTGTTTTATTTCCTCTTCCATGAGGGTGCTTATTTTCTATCGATTTCCCTCTTGCACTACCTCACACAGGTAGTGAAATGAGGATGGTTCTGCATTATTTTAGCAGTCTTGGGTTGGGAATAAATCTGCACATTCATGCCAACTGTGAAGATCTGATTTCTGCAGAGGCTGGTGTTGTCCTTCTTCTGCCAGCACAGATGAGAAATTAGTTCCCGCCTCTGTTGGACAATTGTCTTGTCCAAGAGTGCTCTTTCCTGTGCTCCTAAGACACTTGCCTCAGTTAACTGTGTTGGATAATGTGAGGGAGAACTGGAGAAAGGGGAATGGAAGTCTTTTCCCTTCTCTGTGTACCAGGTAGAAGTTGGCAGCAGATGAACTTTTTAAGGTGTGTTAAATGTGCTTTATTTTTTGTCGGACAGCGAAGCAGAGCTGAGGTGGTATTGGCAATACCCTTTCTTTACTTCTCATCATATAATAACTGAGCTTGGCAAGCTCCCTGTTTCCTTCATTCTTGTCCCTCTGCATGCTCGTGGGAGTAGGTGCAGTATCTATGATAGTGTTTTATATGAAGCTGCTGATTTTTACTATTGTATCTATTTGAAATACTGGCCAGTTAAATCTCTCGATGTGATGGATAAAATAACTGGAAGTAAGTTCCTGTTGTTCAGGCTGTAACAGTGTGTGTTGTCTATTTTTGCCTTTATAACAGAAGCTCTTTCTTAAGTGAACTAAGAATTATTCTATTTTCAGATTAAAAAAAAAAGAAAGTGACTTCATAAAGTGATGACTGTCAGGAAGTGCTGGGTCTGTTCCAGTTATGCCAATCAGTTAAACTGTGAGCATGCAGAGGGGGAAGAGAGGGGAGATGGCTCATGGCACATCTTCCAACTGCTGCACTCAAAACTATTGGGACCATCTGCTTGAGATTAAAGTGATGTAGGATGAAGGATGTGATCAATGCCTCAAATACTGGATTTCAGAATGACTGAGTTACTGTATTTCAGTGATGAGTGACAAATTGGAGAAATGAAGGAATTACCTATCTAGAATCAACTTTAGTAGGGAGAATAATAAAGACCCTAAGTAGTGATTGTACATTTCACATTTAACATTTTCAGTCTGGACTTCTAGGGAAGGGAAAGAGAAGAGAGAAAAAAAGATGATACAAAATTGAAAGAAGGAGCAATTGAAAAACTGCTGAGGGAACATGGCAAGGCTTTCCTTAGGTTATGTCAGATGTCACTTGCTTAAAGTTTCATCCCAGAGGCTGCTGCTTTTCCCATCCTACTACAAGGTCACTGATAAGGAGGTGATAGATGGAAGTGAAGTAGCAATAGAGACATCCCATCACCCCTACTGCATAGCAGCACATTCTTTTTTTTTAATCTTGTTTTGGATGAGAATGTTTGTGTATGGTTCAATACCAATATTTTTGGAAGGGTTTTAAAAACAGGATGAGCTTGGACCATATACTGTACCATTATGTCTGAAGAGGTAAAAGCTGCTTTCATCTTTATGTAACTGTTCCTGCAGTTTTAGAGGTCCCTGAGCAGACAGTCTCACTCCTCTCTGCACAGGAGGTAGATCCAGCACTTTCTTAAGGAAGACTGTTGGGAAAGAGGGGAAAGTCAGGTAACTTTGAAGAATCTGGCCTGGCAGGGAATGGAGAACCCTCATGAAGCAAAGCTGCATTGTGGTGACACTGTTGGGTGACAATCCTGGTTAGCAGCTATCTTGTACTTTTTCACTTCTATAAAGTGTAGGGGGTTTAAGACAACCCCACCTCCCCTCCCCCCACTGCCCTTTTATGGGGAACAAAATTCCACCTTTTTGACCATCAACAGTACTCAAAAAGGAGGACAGCTCTGTCTGCTCTGCCAGCATAAAGGCATAGAGTGTTTTCACCCATGAGAGATGATAAAACAACTGGTTCCCTCTCAACCTGTTCCAGTGTCAGTGCATTGTGAGGTGAACCCTTGAGAAGGGAAATACACTGATAAAAGTCTGAGATTCCTGGTGAAGGGAATCAGTAAAACTGGTAGTATTGTGTCAATGACTACTACGTACATGGCATGCTGGACAGGAAGCATTTATTTATGTGAGCAACACATTAACATGTGGCAAAGTTATACACTAAATTTATGTAGAAATATATTTCCCCCCACCCCTCCACACACCAGTCAACCGAACCAGGGGAAGAACTCTCAGTTGATTAAAAAATTAATTGAAGAAAACAGATAGGAAGTGTTTTGGTAGTTTTCTTTTGTGCATTCTTCAAAAGGTAAGGAATCATCAAATAAAATAATAAATACAGAGAATAGCAACATACCTTTCCTTACATAGTCAGATGTTTATTTTAAGGGAAATTAGGTTTCAGTCCAAATGATGAAAAACAGCTACAGCATTCCACACACTGAAACTCCTTTCTGGAGTGTCGCTCACAAGAGATACTCAAGAAGCATCTGTATTTCATACTGTGCAATGTGCTCTAGGATGATTCTGATTGAGCAGGGACCAGATAACCCCAATGGTGGTCCCTTCCAACCTCTGCTACTCTGTGATTTTGTGTTTCATTCATTACCTTCCCAGCCATAGTCTGCTAAAGAACTTTCAGTCTGTAACCTGAACTGGACAGAGTTTTTTCTCTCAAGTCAAAGAATTAAAGTGCATAACAGCAGCTCTGTCTTAACTGCTCACAAAGATTGTGTTCCATTTTCCTAACAAAAATAGTTCTCTGTGAAGACTTTGAGTACTCCATCACCAGTACATCTACTGATACAGAATATGTGTGGACTACTTCTGGTGCAGATGTTTTGGATTTGTTCTAACCTACAAATAAAAGACATTTTTTACACATGTAGGGAGCTATGGTTCATATGACTGTTTACATATATACAAAATAAATTTAACTCTGTTGTCATTTGGGACTCAGGCCCATCTGAGGAGTCTGCAGAACTCATCCAGTTTCCACTAAAGCTTGAAACGCAGTCCTCCCTCTAGACAAGTATCAGGGATATTTTCTTTTTAGCAAAAAAGTAGATTAGTAACTGTACAGTAGGTAAAAAGCACTCCTTAAAAAAAATACAGAAATTACACAAAAGGCTGTAGTAAAGTGCCTAGCAAGAATATAAAGGACAGGAGAATCAGTGTATGCAGACAAACAACATTGCACCCTTGCTACCCTGACTTCTTCACAAATTCTCCTGCATGCATTGTAACACTGACAATGGTCAGTATGTCAAAAAGAGAATTTTCACTTTGTTATAGAAAGTATTAGAGAGTTTAAAGCCAAGAGTACAGTCATATAATCAGAAATTATACTTTGGAGCATGATTAACTTGATTTTGTCCATACTCTACACAGTGAGAACTGCCAGGAACCCTCAAAGCCTGCTGACAGTGCTCTTCACGGAGACACAGATCATGCCCATCCAGAGAGCAGATGTAGCTACAGACCCTGGCTCAGCTCTGCTCAATGTTCACATCTTTGCTACCATCCTTCCTTTCCCTTTCTTCTCCCTCCATCAGTGTCTGTTTCCCATGCCTCCATCAGTTTTCTGTGAGGGGGACAGTCTCTGGCTGCAACAAAACTGCAGAATATTAAGGGCTATTGTGCTTTCCAAGTGTGACTCCTGAGACATGGAGAAGCCAGGCATTTCTTGATCCCTTATCCCTGTCCTTTCTCTACATTGATTCCCCAGCCTTACTCAGAGATCTCAGAGCCCTGGACATACAGAAACCGACATTAGATCCATTTCCATGATGTGTTTTGCTGGGGAGGAAATCTTTTGTCTTTACATAAAAATATGGTGCAAGACACACTGAAGCTGAATTTGAACTTTCTACTTAGTATTTTTTAATGCATGCTCCATGACAAACCACCCTGTGACTAACTGCATAAAAAACAAGACTCTACAGATAGAGAACCTGAAGTGTTAAAAAATATATTTTCCCTCTCCCCCTTATCCCTTGACAAGTTCGCCTTTAAACAAACACGAATATGAGGTAAGCTGACAGAACAACACCGAATAAAGAGCTGCAAAAAATCTTTTGGTAACTAGATCTCTGCAGGCATAATGTAAACTGTATGCTACCTTCATGCTAGTTTAAAAAAGGTGTTCTATATCAAGGGATTCACACTCTGGCACTTCTGGCAATAAACAGATGTTTTCAGGCTGGTAAAATTTTTAGATTTAAAAGAAAAAAATAAAAGAAATACATTTTCCCTCACTAGAGGAAAAAAAAAAAGCCACATTTTGCTACACCAGCTATCACTTAAGTTGCAAACCCAAGAAAGACAAATTTTGAAGTTACCTGCTGGTAGAAGAGTTAATGATAGTATATTTTGCTTTCAGAATTACATCACTTAGTCCTGCTGCCAGTTTCCTAAACAAGTGACTGGCATCTTTACACTGTGAACCAACCTACTAAGTAATTCAGGTTTGATAATAGAAGTACTTCACTGTTTCAACCAAACTCAGCACAGTCTGAGGTTTCACCTTTCTTTTTTGACTTCGCTTTTTATCTAGCCCCCTAGAAAGTATAATTAAGTTCCTCCTAAAGTTGTTTTCAGAAGAGAAATTTGCATTTAAATGTAAACAGTGATACCTTAAATGTAGTGTATACAAAAGGCACAAGACAATTAGAGTTGTGTTGCTGAAACTTCCTTGACTTTGAAAGCCAAAAATGCATCTTTTATTCTGGTCAGTAAACTCTGATCCTAAAAAAGCTGCTAGCTCCTAACTTCATTGAATGGGATTTCCTATGTGCAGCAGCTTGGCTTTTTGGTATTGCAATCAAAAGTCCATTGTCCTGTAAATGCAAATATCATAAGTTATACCAGTAAGTCACCTTGACTGCACATGGTATTAAGTTATGCAGTAAGAAAGGCAGTGTCTTGAAGAAAAAGTGAAAAAAGAAATCTGAGACAAATATTAATATGAAATAGGAGCTTGAAAGACAGGGGCCCTCAGTAACTAACACAGGTTAGTAAAAAGCCTTTTGGATCAAAGTTCAGGGCCAACATTTGCTTCCCAAAGGGGTAAGAGCTCCAAATGGGACAATGAAATCCCATTTCATAGGACTGTTCTGTGAAGCTTCCATCAAAATCCCCAACTGGCCAGTTTCATTTATGTATTACCCCCCTGAACACAGGCTTTTCATCACATCACTGAGCAGTGGCCCACTGTAGCATTCAGTTACCCAAAGGATTGTTTTCTCTCTCAGCAACTTTTCCAACTACCTGTACTGCAGACCTTTGGGAAGACAAAGCTTTTACAATAATATTTTCAAAAAAATGTTCTAAAACCAGTCAGACACTTCACTTAGGTTTTCTTCAAAAATTGCTTATCAAGGGCTCAAAAGAAAATACAGTCCACCAAGCCACTAAACTATTCCTAATCCACACTGGCTGTTCTCCCAATTCATAAAGCCAGTAGTGCAAAAATTTGATTTTAAAGTCAACTACTTACAACAATTTGAATTAAAAGGTGAATTTTCAAAACCAAGCCAAGAACATGAACTGATAGTAAGGAGTTCACATTTTTCTTGTGCTGAATATCAAAGTAAAACCAGCCATCGAATTTTTACAATAGTAAACATAGACTTTTTTACCACTTTCTAGTACTCAATCATCCTTCACCATTCAAACCCAGTAATTTTAAGTTGAAACATCCTTTATATGGTTCAGAAGTAGTATGTTTAGTTTTGTGTTTCAAGCAGTGACATGGAGACAGCAAATCATCTGTCAGTTTGTTTTCTGAGCACATCCATAGAGGAGCAGACAGGAGCAGCTGGCCAACAGGGCTGATACTTGGAAGAATGCATCTTCCTTCCAACAACAGCTTGTTCTTAAACTGGAACAGAATATTAATCACAAAACACATTATTACAATCTAAGAATACTTAAAAATTATGTTGTTGCACCAAGTCTCATCAACTTGAAGGGGAAAGTGACTAACAGAATAAAAATCCCACCCTGAAGAGGAACCTGATAAAGACTGTTCACAGGTATGTTATTAATCTACTTCAGGATGACGGTGATAAGTACTGACTACACAGCAAGCAGGCCACCAGTTTATAAAATGACACAAGCTATTTTTAATTCCAGATACCAACATAATTAAAAAAATAATTCTCTATTACATTAGCGTAAACTACATCTGGCACTTTCAGTAATCAGTCCTCTGGTGAAATATGAGGGATTATAGGATACAGGATATTGAACAGATCCTTCAGTGGGACAGAAATTCTAATTCTAATTCTAATGCATTGGCAGGGGCTGCTGGCTGTATTTTTCATATTTGAGATGGAATTACTTGGTTTTGTTTTGGTGACTTCAGCACCTCTATTAAAAGTATTCATTCAATCCCTAGGAATATAATTACTATATTGACAATAATGTAATGAAGTTACATGTGAAGTAGCTAAAATAACTTTTTATATGCAGGCTCTTACTCCAGCAACTGTATGTGACATATATGTAGACAGTAATCTATCTTTTTTGTTACTACTCCAGAAAGTTTGAACTGCCACATAGAAATATCTCAGAGCTAAAGGTACAACCAATCTGGTGCTTATGCTCATACCACAGAATTAGTAGTTCTTACTACCCTTCTGAAAGTGCATGAATCCAAGTGAGACAAAACCAACTTCCAGGAGCCCCTTTATGTGACTTTAGACTTGCTCTTTGGAACATAACCTCTTCTGAAAGTAGTCTCTCTTTAAAAAGCCATGTTCCAAAATGGATGCCTCCAAAAAGAAAAAAACAACACCAAACAAAACCCCCAAACCCCACAGAGTGAAGTAATCTGACTGCAAACACAACTCTCAGACCCTGTCTTCTTAAAAGAAGAAAATAATTTAGAGAGAGCACAAGATGTTTATCAAGCTAAACTGATGGGAAAATCCACCCACTTTTAACATCTTTAGAACAGTCACAGTCTATGTTTGATATTCAGAGTAATATGAATGACAAAGTTCCAATAAAATGTACACACTCTTCAAAGAAGACAGTAAAGTAACTGAAGGTAAGTAATTTAGTCTTTTCCAGAAGCTGTTGTTTTGTTGAAAGACCTGATGGATTAAACAGTGCAGAAATGCAATATTTTACATTTTGAACAAAGGGTTAGAAATGAGGGGTTTATATTCTATTAAAATATCATATACAGAACAGTGAAAATTGCAGACACTGTGTGCAGAAATGCAATATTTTACATTTTGAACAAAGGGTTAGAAATGAGGGGTTTTTATATTCTATTAAAATATCATACACAGAACAGTGAAAATTGCAGACACTGAGTTTCCTTCACTCATCTCTTTAACTCTGTTCATCTGACACCCACATTTTCAACACCTCTAACACTTTACATCATCATCAAGTTTGCAGATGTACCTATATCTGGAACGCTGTCTTCATCACTGAACACAAAACCAGAATGTCAGGGCCAGGAGGTTTTTAAATTTCCCTCATGAACCAAACTGAACTTTCGGGAACTTTTTGGTACCAGCTATGGGCCCATCTGTTGGTATCTGCACACCTACTAGTTTTATAATCTGCCTTGACAGTGCAATGCCATTCCTAATGGGTCTAGTAACAATCACTGCAGTTCCCTGATGACTTTCCATGCCTTTCATTTCTTCCATGAGGGACCATGGACAACCTCAGAGCCATGACAGCATGTCCAAGAGTCATACCACACATAAATGAAGGACGTTCACTTGATACGCATTTTCAGGATGACTGAAAATGTACTTCCAACACCAGGGAAGAAATGACCTTGCTGGAACAACTCCTCCATACCAATTATTTGGTATACAAAAATTCTTAGGATTGGAGTCAAACTTTTTATACAGTTTTAAATAAAAAATTATTTCATTCCCTAAGTTTTGGCGGATCAAGTACTAAAGTGAATGTGATGATGGTGTTCATTCTCCACAACCCAGGGTAAATGTCAGCTCCTGTTATGTACCTAACAGAATTTATTAGCTGCTTCTTAAACCTGCTTTCTAAGAAGTCTGTGTTGCAAGATATTAATGCAAGAAATCAAGAAAATATCAGCTGTTTTTTGACAACAGGTGATTAAATCCTCAGGAAGTCATATGGACACATTTTTTCTTCAGTAGGCAGCATGTTTTTACTATTAAATAGGATGCAGCTCAGTACCTGGCTCAGAGCAAGACACTAATAGCTTATATAGTAGACTAAATTCTTTTTACTTCATCATTTGATAGACTTTTACCTGTTTTAGCAGGCAAAGCTATGACCTTTGCATTCAGTGTTAAGAACCAGCCTAATTTTCAAACTTAGCGTTACAAATATTGGCTGAACAGCTTGAATACTCACAATTTTCAGTATCTTTCTAAATAAAGGCAACAATAATATTATATTGGACTATTACCTAAAAAGCAATGAGTATTAAGATCAAACTAATTTGCAAACATGACACATCAAGAAATAGGAGGTTTAGTTTAAAACTGTGAATTCATGTGCTACTACACATGGTAAAAAATTAATTGAAGAAAAGAAAACACATATGAAGTATTTTAGTAATTTTTCTTTTGTGCATTCTTCAAATGGTAAGGAATCATCAAATAAAAGAATAAATACAGAGAATATTAACATACCTTTCCTTACATACGCAGATGCTTCTTTTAAGGGAAATTAGGTTTCATTTTCCATGGTTAATGCAGGATTGCTCATACCTAAAAAGACAAAAAATAGTATTCCCACAGGAAAAGGTCTCAATTAATGATTTCATTATTTCAGCAAATAATACAACCATGAATTAACAATCATTTTAATGACATTACTCTATTACCAAGTCAAATCCTGTCCCGTGTCTATTATACAGCTTTTCACAAGCTGAAAATAGGTGTCATCTCTTTTATAAGGAATTTGTTGTCAAAGGTGCTATCGGACCTAGCTTAAAAAATAATTAGCACCTACTGGTATCAGTGTTCTGATATCCCTTGGTCAGGCTTAAAGGGCAAGGCACAGCAGCTTGACACATGGAACTTGCTACAAGCATGTATTTTGAAAAAGCTTCATGAATTTTGGTTCACAAATATAAACCATGTGACCGTGGTCATTGTTACAATATATCCTCCAAAACTAGTTTATACAACCCAAATCATTGCAGCATAAGTCAGCTCCTTACCGACTTTGCCCTTGTCAGCCTTTGCAGCAGTTTCTGGCCAAGATGGTGCATCTGTAAGTAGGTGGCTCTGGGAATCACACAACGGCTTTGCAGGAAACAGATGGTTCTCACTGTAGCACCAATAAAAAGAACATTAGTGAACTGCAGTAATTTTTCATCATCTTACCACACATTACAAACAGTTTGTCATACGCAGTATTTTCCTTATCTTACCTTGCTTCTTGTCTGATGAATCACTACTTTTTTATCATTATATACATTACACTGTGGTTGTCACAAGTGCAAGCACAATCTAAAAAGCACAGGGATTTTTAATTTGACAGCTATTTTATATTAATACATGTACTTCAGCCCCAAATGCACTCTAACCTATATTCTTCTTCACTACAACAAAACTGACAGGATAAGTAGTGGAGAGAACATCTCCAAAATCTCTTTCCTAACGTAAGCTACAGAATGCTGGGATAAGATAAAACATCAGTAAACAGCAAGATGAAATGTCATATATTTCTTTGATGAATAAAAGATTGTCAGTATGATTTCATTATAATTTCTTAGCCTCATATTCAGTACACTTATCAAATATTTCAAAAAAGATGAAATATGAACTTATTCAAAGGAGACCATGCATACTTTTCACACTTTAAAGAAGTCATGTCCATTAAGGATAAGAATTAATAAAACATGTTCTATTATCAGCAGAAACAACACTTAATATTCAGCTTCCTGTGCTTTGGCCCAAGTGCCATTAGGGATGATTCCCTCATATGGAGTAGCTTTCAGCAGACAAGAAAAAGCAGGTATCCCCAAAAGCCATGCAAGGCAATGGATTTGTATCACAGGCAGTGTGACTAACCATCTCACATGTATGCATAAAGAGTACTGCTGATATTGATTGTTAGGCAGGTGTGAAAAATTCAGGTCCTGGGATGTCACTGAACAGAGAGAGAGCACATTAGGGGAAAAACCCACCCTGCCTCATTTCAATACATTTAAATAGAAATCTGAGGACAACCTTCATTTGCTCACCACTTTTAAGTATATTATACATACTTTTGTTTATGTGTGCACAGTTAAAAAAAAGATCAACTATATGGAATGGATAACAAAACAGATTACCTTTTGGATGTTGAATTAAGTACACCAGGTGTAGAAGCTTGCTCAGGATCCTGATTAACAAGGCAAGTTGGAAAGGAGCAACCATCCCCTAAACTGAAAAATTCAGAATTAGTGTCATAAGTACAAAAAAACTCTCAACTTTGAAGAAGTTTTTTTTATTTATTACTGTGTATTATTTCAAAAAACTAACCATCCCCCAAACACTCTGGATGCTGATTATTCAACAGTTTAAACAAATTAAGCATTAGGAACAGCATACCTTGAAAACACAGGCAGCAACCAGTATTTCTTCTCGTCACCAAACACCTGCCTTAGGTTTTTGCTGAAGCCCAGGCTAAAACCATTTTTATCTGTTCTGTGACGAAATATGGGCGCTCTGAATACCTCTTAAAAGAAAAAGATTAATTAGACCTCTTTGCAGGTTACTCTCCCGCTAGTACTTAGGCAACTGCTTTGCCATTCACTCAAGAGGAAAGGCTGTACTGCCCAAATGACTGAGAGCAAGAGCAGCCAAAGTCAGTGAGTGCTACACAGGCACTGTGTGTGTGGAGCATGTCCAGTGGCCGAGGAAGGGTGGAAGTCTCTTTCACCCTCTTCCCTCATCAAGGCAAGGAAGCATGAGGAACTCAGTTTTTAAGAAGGCATGATATGTTTATATAAAGATTTCAGTCTGTGATTATACCACAGACAGCATTCAAGAAAGAAATACCTAAACAAAGGTTTTCTTACTTTTTCTTACAGAGTAAGTAATGGAAAAGAAGAAAAAGTTAACCTACTCTAGTAGTAAGACTAGCTTTACACACACACTGAGGTATGAAAATACTGTGTGTTTTTACCACTGCATAAAGAAACGTCTTTGCTCATAGACCCAGATTATTCCCCCTGGCTATCCAACCTAAATTTCTGGAGAAGAGAGCTAAATATAGCTTCAAGTGTTGCGAAGTGCCTGAAGCAGAAAATTCATTCACTTTTCACCAAGTGACTGATGGCCATTTAATTCCCTTAATTGGCTATACATAGCAGGCAAGCTCTGTCCTGATGTCCTGGCAGTACAGCTCCCACAAACCATGTCAGAACCATGCTGAGACTGTCCTTCTGCAGTCAAACCTCAGCCAAGAACTGCTGGAAATGACCTTCCACATGCAGTGTGCATTAATTACAATGGGGTTTAAAGAAGGGGGAAGGGAAAATGGGGGCATCCTTTCAGATGTCCATATTAAGCTAGGAAAATAACTCCCAGGGTGATTTAAGCACGGTCACACTTAAAGCTATCAGGGCTTCATTACCAAATTACTGTGTTTTTAAGACTTCACATATTGAGCAATTTCCCAAAAATGGGAAGAGACACCCAGATCTTTTTGAGTAACTTAAGTATGCAGGAAACATGTATGGGATTCCATTTGTTTTGAAAACACAAAATATTGAATTAGAAGTGTAATGCATTATGATTACCTCTGAACAAATTTTTTGCACTGTAATTGTAAGATCACTTTAGAAACAGAACACTAATTTATTTCCATTCAAATAAGCATCTTTAATAAAACTTTTCTCTACTTATACCTAGGTAGAAATTAATACTAGTAAAAAATTGTTTAAAGTCAATGATTTGTTAGAATACTGAAGAAACTCAAACATCCTAGAGGAAATCTTGAAGGAAACAAGCTTTCTTCCATTGATACAATACCTATTTTCAAAGTTTTCCATTAATCATCAAAATCATCATTAACAAATCCAAAACCAGGAAAAAACAGGTCAATTCACTGACCTACTTTAAATCAGCTTACGTCAACAGGAAAGCATTTAGAGACTTAGAAATTTTAATGACTATAGTGCAAATTGGCATTATTACAGTCCAGCATGCAGTAGAGAACAGGTACTGAAATCTTCTGGACTTCATTTATTACGTTTTGTGATCAGACACATGTGCATTCAAACATTACATGTGAGAGCATGCAGTAGTCCATCTAACATTTATTAGGAATTTATCTTGATTTTATTTAATTTTTTTTCGTTTATTCCATGTCTGTTAACAAACTGTGGGTGGAAAGCAGTGAGAGGAAGAATGCTGAATTTATTAATAACTTGGCCCTTTTGGGCAAGAGAAAGAGTCAAAATTTCCAGGGAACAGAAGAACTTGGGAGTCTTCTAACCAAGATGCAAGGAACCGGTGTAGAATTTCGCACTTCCTCCACTACTCCTGTGCATATAAGATACATTTATCATTTACTTTTTGCTGTCAAACAGAGAAGCATTAAATCTACTTACCTAATGTAGATTTATTCTTGCTGACAAGCCAACAGTGATACCCAAAGAGAGAAGACAAGCTGACAGAAAACATAGCTGCAGCAAAGAATAAAAACATGATGTGGAACTTGGCTTGAGTATCAGGAAGGCCATTCTGAAAATTTAAAAAAAAGCCATTAGAATTGGGGAAATAGCTATTTTATTTGATTATTAATAATCCCCTATTCAGCCAAATCAAATTCAGCACACAGAAAAATACACCACACAACAAGAATATCAATAAATGGATTATATACCTTCTATGTACAGACAGCCATGAAATTAGGTTGGTGACAGCATCTAAGTTAAAGAAACAGGCTCTTTCTTGGGAAACTATAAATACTGAGAGCAAGAATCTGAAATTTAGACCTGAACTTTGAAGTGTCTTTTAGAGAAGAATAATTTGAAAAAATGAAGGCTATGATTGCATATATAGGCTATACTTTTGTACATGGCATTAGGAGATACTAGCTTACAATGCAATGCCTTGGAATCACAGAATGCCTGGGCTGGGATGGGACCTTAACAATCATTTAGTTCCCAACGCCCCACCATGGACAGGGGCACTTTCAGCTAGACCAGGTTCCTCAAAGCCCCCTCTAACCTGGCCTGGAACACCTCCAGGAATGGGGAATTGATAACTTCTCTGGGCAACCTGTTCCAGTGCCTCACCACCCTCACAGTAAAGAATTTGTCTGTAATACCTAATCAATATCTGCCCTCTTTCAGCTTAAAGCCATTTCTCCTTGCCCTATCACTACACGTCCTTGTAAAAATGTCTGTCTTTAGCTTTTTTTTAGGTCCCTTTAGAATCTTAGATTTCTTGCACAGTAGTAACTTCACACACTTGAAGACAGCATGTAGATCAGAGTACTTACTGTCCAAAACTTGATAAAGTACTGCAAATCTGTTGCAGCGATGAAAAGGCAATACAGTAGCGAGTAAGCCAAGAAGAGAAGAAAAAATTTGTAATTGGAGAATCCTACACAGTTGTTCACCCTGATAAAAACAAACAAACACGTAAGAATGAAACATCGTGAAAGTTTTCTTTGCTTTCATCCAGTTTATATGAAACTTATTTACTCTAACAACATTTATACCAGCATGTAAACCAAGTTTTACTTCCTATCTCTGCTGCTTGAAGCTACTGGAATGGATTTAGCTTCAATTTGCAAATCAGTGTAGTAACCCAAATCAAAACACCACCACCACCACAAAAAAGCCCAAACAACTTTACCAGATAACACTGCTTTCAACAGCTTACTGAAATTAAATTTTCACTAATGGTATGAAACTTTTTCTCAGCACATCTGATGTAAATGTGACTGCAGTTAGCTATTTTTTTTTAGTTTGCAGGTAAGTATCCATGTTATACCATTAGGCACACTGCATGTCAACAGGGGCAGTAACAAGCCAGGAACTGAAACTTAACTGAATTTTCTGAGAATAAAAGCAGTCTCATTTAATCCAAATCCTCCTTCATTAATCATACTATATGCTTAAAACTTTTCATAACATAAAACTTCTTAGTAAGATTCTCAAATGTAAGAACATTCATAGGAGATTCCTAAAAATATTTATATTTACATAAAATGAGAGAAATGCTACTCTGGAATAGAAAACTTTCCATACCAGTGACAACATGACAGGGAATAAGACATTAGAAACACATCTAAATGTTAAAATAAATCTCATTTTATTATTTTCACTTATGGGCTTTAAGATCACCTGCCTCCCATTTGAAAAGATTTTTATACATGATAATGAGCAACTAGTATACACTATGATGTGAGGATGCATTTAGGACCCTAGCAGCTTCCCATTAGAGACAACATACTAAGTATTAGGAATTTTAGAGGTCTATTAAACACATAATGATATTACACCCACCAAATGAAAAAGTATTGGAGCACTCCCCATGAGCAGTTTATTGGTAAACTGCTTCCTCTTTTATTTGGTTGTATTGAGAAGCTAATCAAAATTATCTTAAATTATCTGTGCACTAACCTTGACAGAACTCTTCATATGAGTTTCAAAAAAACCTAACTGATACTGTCAATTCAACTGGCTGTCAAAATGATCAGCCAATTAAGAGAAGACTACATCCATAAAGATACTTGCGTATTGACGAATAATTCTTAAGGGAAAAAAAAAAAAAAGAATGTGTGGCGAGGCTCAACTTTAGCTTCCAGAAGTGCAGGACAAGTTACCACAATTGTTCTCTTCTTTAGGGAGATGGTGATGCTAATGGCAGAAGGCATGCTAGTCAGACAAGGGTAAAATCTTCAAATAGCAAAGAAATTTTCACTGTACCTTAATATTACCCATTCTCAGGGTGGGTAGTGAGTTGGGTCAGTTTGTTCTATGTTTTGTTTAGACAAGACGTAACATCTTGGCTAAATATTAAATTGTGCATTTTCATTTAAACATGCAGCAATACCTAAGCATTCATATTAACTACAGCTAAGCACAACAGATTGCTCTAATTAAAGAAAAAGAAGATATATTTTTAAGTTCATCATTATTCTTACCGAAAACTAAACATGAAATTCTCCACAGTGAAGTGGGCTTTTTCATTAAATACGTAAAAGTAAGCAATTTAGGTTCAAGTTTTCTATGATAATCCTACTTTCCTTTCAGGACACTTATTTTAGAACGGTTATTACTTAAGGCACTGTTTGATGTGAGAAAAAAAAAATATCAAGTGAAATGTTATTCCCCAAAGATGAAATTTCTTGTATCAAAGACAGATTTCTTTGTAACTGTTGTTTTGCACAATGGCATGCGGCACACGTGTCAAAATAAATTTGCATAAATTATTATACTCCCTTCAAATTTGACAAGGCCCCAGACTGCAGAGGTCTTACTGGAAAAGAATCTCCTTCATCAGAACACTGAAGAGAAGTAAACACCAAGGTTTTGTAATTGCACTGTTTGAGCATGTAGCATCAAATCTCAAACCTCAAGAATGGTGGTTAGATTGGAAACCTAACATTTCTGAGAAAGAGTAAAACTGATAAATATACCAACAACCAGCTAAATAATGGTATGTTATTGCAGTGAAACATTCATACAGTCAGAACAGTCCAGAATAACAATTTGGATTACAGCTAACATGTTAAACACTAAATTTTCAAGTACAAAAAGAATATATATCATTCCTGTCTGCTGGTTTAGTTTACTGAAAATGCCAGGCAAAGAAATAATTTATAAGGTACTGAAGGTGATGCAACTCAATTAACAAAAAACATCACAGAATCCAGGACGTGCTAACTATTTGGATCACTCAAAAGATAAAGGAGAGATGTTTTGAGTTATTCCTAAGGTATTCCTAAATGCACCTTGTTAGCACTAGGAGTGTTATATACAAACAGTATTTTTGGTGATGCCTCAAACCATTGGATTCCCACCAGCAGGTCCATCTGTATATAATGAGTAGCAGCAGCACTAGAAATGCCCAATGCATCACTTAAACCTTTCAGAGTAGTTAGTGGGCACTTAGCATTAAATATTTCTGTTTATCACAGTGCTTTCATTAGTGCAGGAGTGACAGCCAAAATAAAGCCTCCTAGAGAGCAAAGACAGCTGACTTGGGGCTAGGACATGACAACCTCTCATTACCTCTGCCTTCCAAGAGCTTCATCTTACTTTCCATAGATTATTTTTACCCATCCTCTCTCCAGAAATCCTTTTCCTGGCAGATTAAATTAGAGAAACAGCTCTCATTGCTGTTTCCCTGCTCTCCCTAAGCATCACGTGAGTTCTTTCCCCCTTCCTTCCCATCCAACTTGTTCCCACCAAAAAAATCACAACATGAACAGCAAAGCAGAACCTAATGATGTTCAGAGAGGCTGAAGCCCATCCATTATACTGAACTGCACCCTTACTTTTGTTGGCAAGATAGTCATCTATTTCCCTAAGAACCTTTGAACTTGGGTCTTTACAGGAGACTATAAAGCTTGATCAGCAACTCTGCAGTATTTCAAAACTCTTCCATCTCTTCCACATAGTTCTTTTTTTCAGGGTGAGCAAGGAACTGTGAACATCTGCTCAAATTAGGAAAAAACACAAAATACCTCTTTTTTAATGCATTTCTGTTAGATGGAGTACAAAATGAACACCTCTCCATCAAGAAGCATTACATATCTTTCAATTACCTTCTCTATTTGTATTTTTATTTTTTGCACCCATCCCTTATTAGATTAAAACCAATGAGCAGTGTAAATACTCTCTCAAACTGGATATGTTTATGTCGTTAAATTAAGAAGAGTGCAAACATATATGGTATGCAAATGCTACTGAGAGGAAAACAAGAGTTTTTCTAGAAGTTTCTGCCCTAGTGAAATAACACTTCCCTGTCCCTTTACACAAAACCTAAGTACTGTTTATAATCTGTTATTTGATACAATGGATTTTTAGTCTGAAATTTAAGCTTACATGAAGGACATTTTCATGTAAATGTCTTAAGACATAAAAGCACAAAATAATCCCAAAGAGACCATAGAGCTTATAAGAAGTGTCTATAATACTGAATAATAATAGTCATATTGAGACTCTTCACTGATATTTTGTCAGAAATAGCCTGGCAACTGTTTACTGTTTTTCTTGGAGTTTTCAACAAGGCCGCTATTAAAAACCTGAAAAAAGGAAACTGTCTTTTTTGTTCTAAGAAATTTGTTCCACATTCAATGGTTTTACCTGTTTACTTTGTTGTGATCTTGTTTGTTGTTGTTTGTGTTTTGTTTTTTTTTAAGAAGCACACTACTATTACTGAACATCCTCAATTTTCACATGCTGATTATCCCTACAGCAACAATACTCTACCCTATACTACTAACTATTTCTTTCAATTGTATCTACCATGTAGATGCAAAATAAGATGAGATGCTTAAAATCAAATTACATTATGGCAGATGCTATAGTCAGGACCAAGAGAAATAGGGGAACCTCAGCACCCCTTCCTGCCCCAGGACAGAGCCTCCTCTGCCCTAGAATGTGATATAAGAAAGTGTCAAAACAACTGCTTAGAACCATCTACCATTCAGTTTGTCCAGCAAAGGGGATTCTTCTTTTCTGATCATTTTATATGGTGAAGAGCTGCCATGTACTACTCAATCCTCTAAACTTGGACCTTACTAAGCAATTATCTTTAATTATTTTTGTGAGATACACCTGCCAAACTGACATAAAACTAATTATACATCCTGTCTATCCACTGGTTCCAAGGGCTGCTAAGAAAAGACAGGAGAACAAAACCACTGTGTGGGCTGAGACGGCAGTGGGGAGAAAGAATGAAAGAAAACAAAGAACCCATAAAACTGAAAGTGCTAACCTGGTGTTTCCAGCAAGCCCACTCCAGCTGTCCTGGGAGCTTTGGTAAAAGGAACTAGGCACAGCCTTGCCCTTTAGTTTCAAACCTAGGGTAGCACTTCACCTGTCATTGTGACTAAAGCACGGTAATATCCAAACTTGATGAAGAAAAGATGCAATTCTTAAAATAAGTTCTCACTGATTAGAAGTCTACTTCATCCATACTTGTAAAAACATAAAGAAATACCTCACTTAAAGGTCCAAGAAAAATAATTTTTGAACTTCTTTCTGTATATGACAACTAGGAAAAGAAGACACTCAGTAAATAACTCCAACAGGTCTGCAAGACCAGTAACCTCACATATGCATCTAACTCTAGGAATGCTGAAGCATCATCATCATGGCAGGCCCCACAAAAATGTATTTTACCAAATCAGAACATAAGAAAAGAAAACCAGTAGTACACTCACCAAGGGCAGTGATGATCCATTTTCAAAATGCATCTTTAAAAAGCCCCAGCAGAATTCCAAGCATCACCAAAAGAAAAAAAAAAAGTCAGAAGCAATACATGCCAGATTTAAATTATTTACATACAGATTAAGTATTATCCACATTTACTATATGTTATGTAATCTGTTTAATAAATACATCTATTTAAATTCACATAATACAGTTTACCTACAAGGGAACAGCAGAAATGGCAGATAAGCCAAACTGGAAACATTTGATATGTCAAGAATTTATGATTTAAGAAAATGCAATCTACAGGATCTGGTCAACTTTAGCATTTGGTCCTCAATCAAGGATTTTCAACTGCTGTTTATTTACTGGTAGAGCCTTAGAAACTGGGCTAATTCAATTATTATGTAGTGATACAGCTAAATATATTTCCAAGAATATGGTCTGTTTTCATAGATATATACATCTTTTATGCAAATAGAAAAGGTTTTTAAGAGATTACCTTGTACAAAAAAATCCCAAACAATTTTGCAATTAATCACTCTCAATAAAATGTTCACAAGAAAATCAGATATGATCGAAATGAGAAAATTTTGATAAGGATAAAATAAAGGTATTCTACAAAATGTTTTAATTAATTGCATTCTGCAAATTTCACTCACATTTTGTGGATAACAAGTCACCTTTTTCCTTCACTAGAAACACACATGACTATGTTCCTATCTTACACTGCAACCACCATTCCATAGAACACAACCAAGATGCTCTTCCTGCCTCAACTCTGCCTCTCTTTCAGTGCCTCTGCTGCTGTCCTGGACAAAGCAATGTCTTCTCCACCTCACAATCCTGTTGTAGCCTTTGATCAGCTGAAGAGTATTTGGAACAGCCTTAAGGCTAAGAATAAACCTCCCTTGGAAGAAATGTCTTCTCTCAAAGTTAAAAATACAAAGCACTGGGGGGCCAGAGTGAAGAAACACAGACATCCAAGCTCACTGCAGAAGGATCAGAGAGAACAGCCAAAAGAAAGATTAAATTAGAAAGCAATCAGACTTCTGGAAAGTATGGATATGAACTTCCTTTTGTGTGAGACAAACAAGAATTTAATTTTATGGCTTGAGTTAGAAGTGGGAAAATGCTTGGCTGTTTCTTTCTCTAAAAAGTAAACTGCAAGTTATCCAGTAAAAAATAGGGTATTAAGTGTATTACCTCAGGTATGATGTGACACCATGATTAGATTGAGATGGGTAGTGATGCTTATTCAGATTCTAACAAAAGAAGTACATTTTTAAAATAATCTATTTTTGGTTACATTCTTAAGGAAAATTCTTTATTAATATTTATAATTTTTAACCATTATGTAAAGAATATATAAGACCATGTAATCCATGTTGGCATCGAGGGAGTCATGAAATGAATTAGACTAAGTTACAGACTTCCTTAGAAATAAGTAAATGAAAACTAAAGATAATAGAAGAAAATCTAAGGGGGGAAACGTATATCTGCCAAAATATTAAGCCTGAAAAGTCTACTAATAAAAAATAAAAGCTTCTGTGCTAACAAAGAAAAATTGATTAATTCAGAAAATCACTTATTTAAGGATATTCTTACTTGTCGCATACTGAACAGTGATGGCAACGATCTGGTTTTACAAGATGGCATCTGTCACAGTATCTGATTGCTAAAGAAAAAAGTTCCAAGATTAGATTTCAAAGTACACTTACACATTTTGATTTCTGAATTCTGTGCAAAAGTAAATACTATCAGCCAGCCCAGAAGAACCCGCAGGAAAGCCTTTCAGCATGATCAGAAGCAGCTGAAAATACCGAAGCACTCTTGCAATGCTGAATCTATCAGACTGAACCCAAAAAGCTCCCTTTTTGCCATCTCTGCTAATCATGCTAATCTATTATTTTTTTTTCTCGCAAGCCTTATAGGTCTGCAAAACAACCGACCAACAAAACCCACAAAACCCTCACTAGACTGGAAAAATGTTAAAGACTGTTCAACAATATAGCTATTTTAAGCTATTATTCTAACAGCTTTAATTTATTATGTGAGATTATCTCTTGGATTTGCTTAGCTAGCCAGCATTCAAAAACTGACAATTTGAGTAGGGTTAGATTCACTCTTAGTTTGGAAGATCTTTTGTTCTTGCAACGGAATGACCAACAAGTAAAACAGTAATAGTTTCTTACTGTGATCTATCTAGCTATAGATGACATGCAGACAGCGATTCTGTTTTTATTATTATTTTTAACCTATGATAAAAGAAATTTACACAGTTAATGAATGCTACAGCCTCTTCTCCAACTTGTTAGTAGCAGAAGCTATTTGTTAATATCAATTTGAAAACAAAAGCAAGGCATTGTCAATCCACTTTAAAATCCTAAAATGTATGCTGTGATTTACTTCCCAACAATCTTAATACACTGAATAAATGTTGCTGCACAAAGCTAAATTAAAGTTCAGGAACCACTCTGTAATTTTATGAAATATGGAAAACACTTCTTCCCTTCAATCCAAACCCTTGAAAACTCTTTTTAAATTAGTTTAAGTAGTACATCAAGACACCTGCCTTTGTTAGTCTCCTGAACACCTATTTACCTCCAGACATTGTCCGTGTATAGATAGGAAGATCCTTGGCTGCTCGTCTTAAGACTTCTTGCTGGGATTCACCTCTAGGCTCCCTCTCTAGGGACTCCTTGTCTGAATATGACAGATGAAACTGGAATAATTTTTAAAATCAAAGAAATATTAGCAAATTCCAAGTTACATATTAACTGTAGATGTGTAAAGAGGAATAAATATTCATTATATAAAGATGGATTAGCAACATGTACAGGGTATTACAGCAAATAACCTGGTGTTCCCACAACAGCTAACTCATTTTATGGCAGCTCAAGACAAAATTAAAAACGCTTCTGATTTGGTACTGATGCCATGCTGAATGCTTCCAGAAGTACTAAGCAACATTCTTCAAGAGAAAGATCAAGAGCTTATCATTCCTCTAAAAGGTCAGTCAATTTACTTCTGTAATGCCAAATATTAACTAGTGAATATAATCTAGGGATGTCAGTGTTTAACTGAAGGAAAATACACAACTAGTAATAGCAGAAAAACAGCTTTATTTCCCTTTTATTCTTTGTCACTGCTATTCTCTTCATGCAGGTGTTAGGATGTGTTTTTACTTTAGGGACTGGCTGAGAGAAGGAAGAGATGGGTCCTGTATGGTAAAATAAGCATATCTTGAATATCTTCTGAATAAAATGGCAGCTTCTGTCACTGCCCAAAACAATAACAAACATGGCTCTAGCACGTGCTGAAAAGGTAAAAATTATTGAAAGAGATGCTTAGTATACATGAAATACTATAAATTTCTTGAACTCCAAAGTCCTCTGCAACACAACAATATAGCCAGCTTTGTCACTGTAGCTTCTAGAAACAGGCAGAAGTCTTTGGTATCTTTATCAGAGAAAGAGGATAGAAAATCATCTTTGAAAAGAAGCCCACATTTGGCAGGAAGAGCTGTCTCTCCTCTGCAACACAACAATATAGCCAGCTTTGTCACTGTAGCTTCTAGAAACAGGCAGAAGTCTTTGGTATCTTTATCAGAGAAAGAGGATAGAAAATCATTGAAAATAAGTCCACATTTGGCAGGAAGAGCTGTCTTCATCTTGTGCCAGAAACAGAAGCCCTCTGCACAGCACTTATGTTTACAGGAAAGCTAGTCATTACAATAATATTGATTTTTCTTTCCTCAAAAAAAGTGATGCATGCAAAAATAAGAAAGCAGGCAGAAACATGCAGTTAGGAGCCAGTTCTCACTTCCATAGAGAAGGCACCACTCTACCCTTCCTAACAAAGCCTACAGACTTCCAGCTGAAGCTGGATATTCACTGTTTAACTTGAGTTTCTCAGGTCAACATTTTTTTCCCCTTGCAAGAACACTCTTACCAACATCTGAGTTGATTTATATTGGGATACATAAGATTTCTCACCACAGAAACTTAGTTTAGAATACTTTTTTTCAAATGCTTATTTGATGTAAACAGAGCAAGTGTTCCATCTGTTTTTTATTGCTCCTCAGAGTAGTCCTACATCTAAAACCTTCGTGCCTGGGTGCTAATTTTCACTCCCATCTTCATGCAGTGCTTGTATAAAGCTGGTATGCACAAGTAAAGAGCGGCACACACTACAGCAAAATCCATCAAAACCTACTTTACATGTAAAAGTTTGAAATAAAAGAAAGCTGCATGGTTTGCACCAGCTGCAGTATTCATGAAAACAAAATGCAAAAGCTTGTTTTTCAGTCTTCAAATGAGTATTTGCTAACTCAGTTCACTTGAAAATACATCTTTTTCTATTTGCAGACTTCATCCTATAAAACAGAAGCCAATCAGTAACATAACATTACAAAATACCCTGATTAAATTTTTAAAATACTGCTCTAGTAGGATAGGAAAAAGATGTGGAACAAGGATGTCACTTACTGCCAGCAACACTGTGCAAATTCAAAGAACATAGGAACACCACACATTGCTTTCTATTACTCAACTACGATGCTTTTCCTACCCCATTTGAAATTCTCCAGTAGCATTGTCTGATGGATTTGGAATTGTACTATAATCAGCAGGATTTGTCAAAATGCTTTCATGGCATCAGCCCAATGATTTGAAAACCCTTCTAATTAGCAGTACAGTCACCATATACATGCATACATTTTGCTATGTAATTTCCAAATTTTAATTTATTTTGTTCCTACCCACCCGGGCTGTAGCAAAGACTGCAGTGTGAACCCCAGTAAAGATGGCAATTAGTTTGAATTATCTACTTGCTTTCCCAATTACATATCCTAGTACTGAATGAAAACTGTTTGGAAAGGAACCTCCACACAACAGACAATAGAAATCACAAGCTATTCATTTTAGGCTGACCCTGTGCATAGAGCAGCTAGAGCTGAGTCCATGCCAAAGTAAGTGTTTGCTTTGCAGGTATTTCCAACTACAGGGCAGCCATAGCATGATTCCTCCTGACCTCACAGATTGTGTTACACAGCACCTACTGAGGACTCAGGGGTTTCTGTACAAAGACAGAATGGAAGGGGCCAAAAAGTTGTGCTAGCTGTAAAAAGCTGCATGGGCAGAACTTCCACTGGGGCCACTGATGAAGAACCTTCCCATACCTCTTTTTTCATGTGGCTATTCTTTACTAGCTCCCCTCCTGCTCAGCCAGCTGTGGCTTCCCACCATCAGCTAACTAATGTGCACTCCCACCACAATCCAAAAGCTCCTTCATACCAAAACAGATGGGGAAGAGGTTTTAGTTCAGAGGACAACAGACAGATGCTGACAAGAAATATAAGTCTTAAATACAGGGAAATAAATTTTTGCCCATGTAAAACTCTGATATTCCCAAAGCAAAGATTCAGGCTGCTAGTTCAAATAACTTTCATTTTTCAAGTGGATAGGATTTTTTCTACCATAAATATATCTTTTTCAAAATCTATTAAAAATTAGAGAAATTGTTACTTTTTTTTTGTTCTTGGTCATTACACTGATTGCAATCTGACTTCTATTAAGAAGCTGTAACTGCCATTCGTGTTTTCCTACAGAGTGTAAAACTGCATGAGATCAGAGACCAAGTTGTTCAAACACTAAAAAATCAGACATTTGGCTAGGCTATTTCATAAACAAAAGTCATCTTACTTCTTTTGAAGGATTCATTGGTAGCGTAAAGATTGTTTTCCAATATGACCAGACGAACAGCATGAAAAATATGTGGTAAGCAACCAGGCACACAACTAAAATCAGAAGGGAACAGAATTAATACAAACAGACCAGTGATACTGTAGTACTTACAAATAGTGCCTGTAGGCATCACAGATAGTTCTCTAACAGATGTAAATACAGAGGCTCTGGAAAAGCTTTGCCGCAAAAATACTGCACTGCAACTCTACATAAGACAAATGCAAACTGTGTGGGGAAGGTCATGATACAGTCTACATAGATTACAGAAGTTTGAGGAAAATGGTTAATAGCCTATTAAAGCCCATCATTAATTAACACGCAGTCTCCCTTACACATTTGTTAAACCCTAATTAACTGATGCATCTCTGCCTTTTGGCTTTACAGATCTTGTAGGGAGACTGCTAGCCATGCAAACCCCCACTCTGCCTCCCCCCAGCCCCCAAAGGACATAAGGGGACAATGACAAGTGTGAGGGAAGTCTGGGGGTGAATACGCACAAGATACCTGAGCAGTAACCATATCCAGTTAATTTGTTTTCCTAGATTTCAGGAGGAATGACAGTTGGGTGGTTTTTAAAACCTACAGGTCCTTTAAATTCAAGCGTTCATTCACTACTTAATATTCTTCACAGCCAGTCAGCATTTATTCTTATTTTTTTAATAGATGAGAATCAACATTTACCATGCTGAGTTTTTTAACTAGAATACAGAAGGTAACAGTGACTTTTCCAAAGAGTCTGCCATAGGTTGATGGGTACTCCCACTTAAAAGTTCTCACCCTAGTAAGCAATTCACTACAGTAAATAGCAAATTGTAAATTCACATCCCCTGCATAACTTGCTCTAATGACAAGAAATGAGTATTCTTCCACAAATTCATATCCTCAAAAAGCATCACAATGGGAAACCTGTGCACTTTCATTCCAGGATCTGAAGTACAGCCCTTGTATGGTCAGCTCATGGAGTCTTTTTATATGCCATATTATTCAGGGCTAGAGAATTCTTTATAACACATGCATGATGGTGCATATAAATGCAGGAATAGTTCTCTGGTATGTTCTTACTTTTTGCAACTTTGCCTTAAAAGTAACACTGAATAAATATTTTTTGTGTTGATGTTTGTATATTGAAATAGCAGGAACATTGCAAATATTTACTCTTATTCACTAAGCTGTTAAAAATAATAAACAAAAGCTAATAGAATCTGAGGAGTGACTCTGTACAAAACTTTTGGGATGACGAGGCAAAGAGCCATATGCCATGTCTATAAACTGAAAGAAAAATCTTATCAGCATAAATAAGTGATAGAACTGGACTCGAGACAAAGCACAATACGCTTGTGCTCACTAAATGACTATCTTGTTATTGCATAAACATCTGGACAGGAACAGTCCCCACTTTTATCAGAATATTTCTATCAACTCTAAAAAAACCACAATTTTTTTTTGAGAAAAATCTCAAACAAAATCAGTATTTTTTTAAGCAACAGTATATTCATAAAATGACTATCTTGTTATTGCATAAGCATCTGGACAGGAACAGTCCCCACTTTTATCAGAATATTTCTATCAACTCTAAAAAAACACAATTTTTTTTTTGAGAAAAAAAACAAAATCAGTAATTTTTTTAAGCAACAGTATATTCATGGCATATAATGAGAGCAAAGTAGGACAAGTTACCTCAGTTCTGTACATGCTGCATTTACTGATCTGCATTAAACATTTTATTGTTGCAAAAAAACTCCTCAGTAACTGACTGACAAGAAAATTGTTCACATATTTAAAAAAACAATCCAAAACCAAAAAAAACAAAACAAAAACCAAACAAACAAACAAACAACAACAAAAAAAACCAACCAAAAAAACCCCAAAAAAGGCACCTAATGCCTAAAGACATTATCAAAGGTTTTCTCTTTGAAGTCTGAACAAGACTTGAGCTCATCTTGTTTGATCTTGAACCTCAGCTCCCCAGCCTTGCCCCAGTGCTGACTGGTCACTCCTCCCAGGTTACCACCCACCAGTTTCCCTGCCCTGTGATGGAGACCCTGGGCTGGCCAGCTGCTCCACCAGGCCTGTGGCTGCTGAGAGCCCAAGAACTTCATCTCACCTGAGGCAGGTAAAGAAGAGCTGTCTGCTCCTCCCTGGCAGAAACTTTCATATTTTACACGTTTTCTTGAAAAAAAAAACCAAAACCAATACACCAACCAACCAAAAAACCCCAACTCAACATATTTTACACGTTTTCTTGAAAAAAAAAAAAACAAACAAACCAATACACCAACCAACCAAAAAAACCCCAACTCAACAAAAAAAAAAATCCCAACCCAAATGGTGCATCCTTTGCTTGAAGGCAACCAATTTACAGCTAGCTAGCACAGCTAGAGTTTCTGGAAATTAGAGGCAACCTGTAGTACAGCTGACCACATTTGCCCAGTTTTCACTCCTGAAAAATCTTAGGGCAGAAGTATAGCCAGAATAAGTATCTTCTGACTGGCTGAAGCCCAAGGCCTTGAGTAAAAATAAGGAAATTTAATGTTCCCCAACACATTTTGCTGATAATTCTAATGTGTTTTGTGAGCAATGCCCATCAACTCACCTTTTTCCCCTCCCACAGAGTACAGAGCAGAAAGAAACTGCAATTCAAAGCCTGCCCTTTGGATAACACTATTAATAACTAGTAGAAGATAACACTTCTACACTCATATAGGGAATGAGATCACTGAACTGAAAAAAAAGTTTTTCAAGCAAATGTTTCTTAATTGACAAACATGTTTTCTAAGCCAGAGAGTTGCCAATGACTTAATAAAATCTGCTGAAATTACACAAACAAAATAAAAAAGCTCTTCCTCCAAAAGCTCTGCAGCCCTACACTTTACACTTCCATGTTGTGCTGTAGAATTAAAATAGCATCTGGAAAAAACAATCTAAACATGCAACAGCCTCAGGGAAGGAACTGTAGTGACTGCAAACTAGGCGTTTTTATTATATTCTGAGAAGGCTACATATCTGAAGGATTCTATTTCTTTACAAAAGTTAAAAAGAAAATGCAGAAAAAAATCAACTCCCATTTAAGTATGTTGCAACTGCACAAATAAACTGCTCATTTCTAGAAATCCTGATTTTACAAGAGCTTTCCATATTATGAATAAATCTTTAAAAACCAGAATGTAAGGATTGTTTTAGTTGACATATCACACAGCCAGTGAGGAGAGTAAAAAAATTCTAATTTTTCTCTTCTCTATTTTCAATGGCTATGGCAAGTCAGGAACATCAAGATATTAAAAGGTGCTGAGGAACAAAAAAAGTACAAATCTATTCTTTTTCGTTAGTCTGTTTCTCAATTCTACTAGTCAACTGCTGTTCTACTCTGATATATGAATTACACCAATAAACAGCTAATAAAAATCTTACCTTTTTCTCCGATATTTGTCATTGTCACTGAAAAAAAGAAAAAAAGGAAATCATAAAAATTTGTTTAAATAGCAAATGATGTAACTCAATATTTAAACATTTTTTTTCAGCCAAAGATGGAAGAGTAATCATCAAACAATACACGTTTAAGGATGCACACTATGAAGCTTCTATGCTGTGTACATTCATCACAAGAATAAGTATACAATATCAATTGCTTATAAGGTTTTTTGGCTTCTCTTCCCAGGCTCATCTCCTGATAACTAGGACCTCCATCTATCTGAAGCTGCCAAAGTTTAATCCAAGAAAAGCCATGTCTGAAGAGCAGTTATTTCTTCCAACTGTGGTTGCACAGGTTTCACTCTTTATGTTCTGTTCTTGAAGTGGAGGTGTCAGACTCCAGAACTGGTTTTGACACCAATATTTGGTAATACCTTAGATCTTCATAGCATAAAAACTGAAAGTAGACAAAAGTTGCATTTCCTTTAAGGAATTGCCCACGGATTACAAGACACTAAGAGAGTGAAAAAGGGCAAGTGTGTCAGGTGTAGGTCACTCTAGGACATGAAACAGAAAGACGCGGACACTAGATTTTCCGAGGTGAAAAAGAGGGAGGTCTAATTCTGACTCCAGCATTTACAGATTTCTAAAAGTGACAGTGGGTTGGAGGTGCCACCTCTCCAATGACACTGGACAAGCGAGCGTTCCATCAAGTGTCTCCTCCTCCATACAAAAATGCAAACCAATTAATTATTAACATAAAGTCCGTGAAAAAGTTCGTTACAAGAATGTAAACATAGAAGGCTTAGAAAAATTCAAAAAAACCAGGGCGACAGGTGTGGAAGGGAGTACACAGATATCACATATCAGTAACTGCATTTTCCTCTCTTGGTCATATTATTTAAAAGTAACCATCCCACAACAGGTATCTCAGAGAGATCAGAAACTCAAGATCAAAACCTCTTTTCACCCAAACCACTCCACCACACATTTATCCATCCCAGTTAAGCAGTCTACAAGCTGTGATACAGTGGTGCCTACAACAGGACAGCAGATACACAGAGTTCTCATCCGCTCTTGTTTTCCTAATAAAAATGATTGCACCAGGCTGGTCTTCAAGCAGCAGGCACAAGGCAACTCCTACTGAAAAGCCAAAGAGCCATGCCCTCTGACTGATGGATTAAACACAGGCTTGGTGATTGAGTTAAAGCCAGCATTTAAATACATCTTGCACATTGCAAGGGTGGACCACGGCCCCAGTGCTGCTCAACGCCTTAACTAATGCTCTGAAAGACTGAACACTTACACGTTTGCAGATGACACCACCATGGGGACAGCAGCTGGTACGTGCAGGACTTCCACTGAGAGGGACCACAACAGGCTGGGGGAATGAACCAACGGGGCCCTTATGGAATTAATGAGGGCAAACACAAAGTCCTTCACCTGTAAAGAAGCAATCCCCTGCAACAACACAGCCTGGGGACTGCTGGGCTGGAGCAGCTCCCTGGAAGAAGCCATGGAGTTGCTGGTGGGCAGCAGAAAGGGCCGCCAGCCACATGGGCTCCCTCAGCAGGGGCACGGCTGGTCAGCCAAGGGAAGGGTTTATCCCCCTCTGCACAGCATTCCTCAGACCACACCAGGACACTGCGGGGATTTGGGGCTCCCAACACAACAAGGAGACAAGTCCAGTAGGAAGTGACAGGGACTCATCCTCTAAAGAGAGGCTGCACAGCCAAGGCCTTGTCAGCCCTGGAGAAGACATGGTTTTGGGAGGGCCTCCAAGGACCTCCAGGGAGGCACTGGGGAACTGGGCTCTTCATACTGGCACAGAATGGGATGACAAGAGCCAGTAAGTGTAAGCTGAAAGGATCAGATTTGATAGAAGGAAAAACATTTCCACCATGAGAACCATTCACCAGCAGAGGAAGCTGTCCAGACATGTCACACAGCCTCCACCAGTGAAGTTTTTCAAGGCTCAAGGCAATAAAACCCTGAAGAACCTGGTGTGACCTCACACCTAGCCCTGATTTTATCAGGAGGTTGGACTAAATGAGCTGAGGTCCTCTCAAAAATTAATTATTCCACAATTCTGCAATTATAAAATAGGTCTATTAAAATGGAGATTTTAGTATAGATCCAGCAAAACAAGCACCTACCTTACCTGAGGGAAAGCAGTAAGCAACCATGTTTATAAAGCTCCTCAAAAAATCAGAAAGAAACCACAGAAGTTGCATAAGCCACTATAAAGTAAACTATATTCTGCCCTCAGTTTTCTGAACTCTTTAGAATTGGATAAGCTGAATATCCACCTAGACAACTGCTAGAGAAGAGCTGAAGGAACATGCATATACCTTTGACTCTGAGATGCAGACATGCTCCCCTACAATAATGCCAAAGAATTGTACAATTGTAAGAAAACAGTCATCCACCAGATGATTGTTTACAAAACAAAAGACATCTTCAGAGCTGATATGCAATTTAAAAGTGATGGAGTTCTCAAATTAAGACAAATTAGCCACTATTCAAATTCTGATTTTCTTTCTCCACTTGGAACAGTCAGCAAAGCATGCAGAAATTTTGCCAGTCTTCTTGGAATAACTACTCTCTGCTAATTAAAAAGTCACAGCCAAGCACACTTTGCAGAATCACCAGTTTCAAAACAAAATCTATTTCACCAACCTTCACAATAATTTGTAGCATTTTTCTCTCCTTACAAGGGAATGCCACAGAACACTGCTGTGAAAGCAATTGTAATCTTTTTTCCACCCTGTATCTTTGGAAGAAATGTATTTACTAATGTGTCTGAGATATCTAAATTTTCCACAATGCCTCTAAGTAAAGGACAGACAAATCCAAATTTAGTAATTTCTACCAGACAGCAAGCTGAAAGCTTTTCAAAATTTCTGTCCACCTCCAGAAGGAAATGCACTCCTCAGAGCCTACACCTGCACAGAGGACGGTCTTCTCAACCTTTGCAGTATCTAGCTTGGACCCCAAATGCTCCTGACAGTCAGGACCACAAAGGCTAAAACACAAGTGCCAAGATGTCCGGTTAACCCCAGGAGGGTGAAAACATGTTTTTGGGTTTTGGGTTGTTTTTTTAATATATGTATCTTGTATTTTTAATTTATTTTACCACCGAGAATAAATACAAAGTTATTTCATACACTCCTGAGCTGCAACCACTGTAAGAGACCAAACAAGGAAGAAGGGTGAAAAGAGATGCCAGTACCTTCAATCTTACCATCATTTTTCTCCACACATATTGCAGCCGGTGTTTACAAGACTGGCTGCACTGCCCAACAAGTATTCCCACAGATAGTGACAGAAAGGAACTGTGCAAGATATCCAATAACCTACATGAAATGAAGTACCAGTCCTTCTGCTTATGCCTTTTTGAATCACGTCTGACAAAGGCTCCCTGGAGGAGGAACAGTGTGTGGGAAAGTAACGGACAAGCATCTGCAATAAAACAGCGCCAGAGAGGAAATGAAGGTGTGGGGTTTTTTTGGTTGTGGCTTTTTTTCTTTGGTTGCTGCTTTGGTTTTTTGGGGGGCAGGGAGTGGGAGAACCTTTTGTTTTGCACCAATATGGCAGAACTGACCAACAGGGGGAAAAAATGGCTCTTACAAATCAAACTCTCTCCTAAATTCCTCCTAAAGATTTAAACTTTCTATGTTTGTTGAATGACCATGATACAAAGACTCAGAGTAACTACAAGATGTTTACCCTAAGATCACACTAAAATTTTACTATTTGAGAACATGGAAAATAATTTTCTAATATGAAAAAATCCTCTAATTTTGGAGTTGATCAAATAAATGTTTGCTATTTTCCCTGCCTTCTGAATAGCACATGATGTTTATTTAAACCAAATTTTGTATTTTTAGTAGAATCATTTGTATCAGTATTTCTGGCAGTTTTCGCATTTCTGTTTCAAGGGGTTACACTCAGTGTGGTGAAAAGTAGGTCAGACTGTGCATTCTGTCATTAATAAATATCAGCCGAAATACTGCAAATGCATTTGCTGATAGTTAAACAGCACAGAAAATAGTATGGGTAAAAAGCATTTATGTCTATGATGACTAAAATAAACACAAAGGACATGGCAATCCCAACTGCTAAGCAATTTCTGGGAGAAAACAGGGTAAATCCCTTTGAGACCAAAATGGAATGATACTCTTGTATACTCAGAGATGGAAATAATTATAAAAACATGACCTGCCTTCGGGAAAATCATTAAAAAGTTACAGCTTTGTTTGCCTGAGATACTGCAGGGGCCAATTTCATTAAGAATCACCCTTGCACTGCTAAAGCATCAGGATGCCATTTACAGTTCAGCACCAGCAGACTGTCACATCATTAGAGTCTCTCTGGTTCATTACGCAGCTCGCAGATGGTGCTCATCAGAATTAGGGACCAGGCTGGGACAGACACAGGATTTCAGCCAATGGAGATGCCAATTTCCTGAGCCAGAAACATTGCTCCCTGCTTGCCCCAAGCAGCCAGAAACAGAAACAGCACATTCAATAACCAATACCACTAAGCAGAGAACAATTGTAAAGGTGACAGAATGCTGTGTTTCAAAAGATCTTAAAAAGTCCAGGATTGTTTCCATCACCTAACTAGTTTGCTAGGAAGAGAAATCACATCACTAGACGCCTTGCACACTGGGTCAGACCAAGTGGATTTCCTACTTCTTCAATTTCCACTTATTTTCTCTAGAAATCTTAATTCTCACTCAACCATGTAATAACTAGGTAGATGTCCATCTCCACATATCTAGAGACATAGTAAGACACATTGCTAGTACAAACCCCAAAAGATTTTGAAAGATAGATTTCATATAAAAATGTGCATTGGTTTTGTAATGTCAAATTTTGCTTGACTTCTAAACCCAAAATCAAAGTTTCTGAACTGTAAATGAAATGGCTAGATTTAAAAACAAGGAAAAAAATAAAAAAAAAGAAAATGGGAGAAAGCAATTAATTTTTTAATGTACAAAATTTTGCTATCATATTTTATGTATATTTTTTAAATATTTAAATCATTGGAATGGGAAAACAAGATATATCTGATGCAGAGACTCTGCAGCCACATCTATAAATAGCTGGTTCTCTCAAACTTTTATGAAGAATCAGTCTTGGATCTGATTCACAAAACTAAGTACACATTTTATCTTTATAGCATATTTGAAGCTGTAAAACACTTATCTATAGATGCAGTTTTACTCAGCTCTGTGCACACATAAAAGTGTTTTATAGTTTTGACAAGTGTTCTGTCATTCCCTGCAATAGTCCTTTAGTAAAAATATCAGCACTTGCAATAAAAACCTACCTCTCTGCTAGACAGAGCAGTGATTTGCATTGATTCAGAGAGACAAGGTGCCTCCAGTGCTTGGTTTCAGGACAAAAGTAACAGAAATATTTCCAGGATATTTAAGGTTGGCATAGGTAGTCATCAATAGCCCATACATTTGCAATTGATGGTATTTGCAAATGTTTCAGAAGATTCATTTTAACCCTGTGCCCATCAAACTGCACCACTGTCCACCTGTCCAGCAGCAGCTGCTATTTGGTACCTTTGCATGTAAGGTCACAAAACCACTGCTTTTGGTATGACTAAGAGATGACTTAAATCTTTCTTCTTTACAAACTTCCCATTTACCTTCCAAGTCACAAAGACAGACTGAAGAATGGAAAGTGTCCAGCACTACCAAAGTTGTAGACACTTGTGTTGCCAGTATTGCCAGACAATTTTCAGCAAACAAAAACGGCACCCTGACAAGAACAATTCCTGAAGTCATGTATCAAGCAGTGTTAAATCTTTACCTGAAAATATAATCTTGTCCAGTAACCATATCTTCACCATAAACCTTATTTTTTTTCTTTTTAGCTTTTTTTCCTCCCCACCCTATCAGCTTCCATCTCCTTATTTTCTGCCACTTCTGATGCCCTGCTGACACTGTGCCAAGCCCATAGGGCATGTATTAATTCTGCCTCTAAACTGTGATGAATTAAGCAGCTTTATATCCTGTTATAATTCTATTCCACTGATGGTTCACAGGGTCAAAAACCTCAATTCAGCACTAATCAATCTGATCCTCCAGCAAAAATCTTTCATGCTCATTAACATCTTTAGCAGCTGGATGTCATTCCATGCTTTCTGTTCCATTCTGAAAGTAGCTGTGGACAGACACAAGTCACATATTCTATACTAAAAACAAAGATGTGACTTATGAGCATTACTAACAGTACTGTGAATGTCGTGTTGTACCCCCTCTTCAGCTATGTTCCAGTCATTTATTCTTTTCCATAACAGGGAAATCACTCACCAGGTGGCAATATTTCCTCCCTTTCCCTTCACTGGAGTAGCTACAAAATGCTTATTTCTCGTTTGTTCCACAGTAAATCTATTTTCCTTCTTCAAAATTACAAATTCAAGCTGCATTTTCTGACAGGATTCCCTGAGGAAGAGCATTATCCTGTGAATTAAAATTAGTGCCATGTAAAAATGGATCAAAACTGAACAAAACATTCATTTTCTATTGGCTACAGGATATCTACATGATAACCCTTTCATCAGCTAAGCTGTTATTTTTTCCTAAAAACATCTGTCACCTAATTGTGACACTGTTGCCTAATTTTTTACATTTTCCTTGTTACATGCACCTCCAAACCTCGAGCAGGTAGGAAAACAAAACAAAACAAAAGGATATTAGTATCCCCATTTTGAAAGAATATCTCTGACAAACAGCTATCAGAAACTGCACATAACTACTGTTCTGCCTTACCTAAAGCATGGGATGGATAACTCCTCCAAGTCCCTTATGGTTCTACCAACATGAATTAGAGATGTATCTAAGAAGGGAAATGTAAGAATACTTTTTTTTCTTTGCATTTGAAGTATGCAAAGATTTTAAGAAACACTGAATTTCCATTTTCAGGTTTTCATAACAGTGAATCCAATGTGTATTTTCTGAGTATAAACACATGGGTAGAGGTGCTCAGGTGAAGTATTTCATTTGCACTTCATGTTACTGTTGTTCCATGTATCCTAGGTTGAAATTTCAGTAGCTTGAGCTATCGAAGGTCACTGTAGTCACTGTGCACTGCCTGTATTTCCCCATCCTTTTTAGAGAAAGAGCAACAAATCTGTATCCGTTAGGCTCTCATAAACACACTCAAATTTTTTTAAGGTAAGGAATAATTAAAGACACAGTAATTTTAAACACAAAGTTATTCAGGGTGAAAAAAGAAGTACTACTACTACTAGACAGGGCTTGTGAGATGAGAGTACTGGCAAAATCAAGAGAATTACACGGGATTAGGGGTAAGCAATTTTTAGTTGAGTGTTTTAAGACCAACTCTCATACACATTTGATTGCAGTATTCATTCTACATCCAGCAGAAAGAACTGTTTGCTAGTGTTCAACATCTTTCTCCTTCTCGTTAAAGGTTAAAGCTGCACAAGCACTTACCGGAATCCACTCATAAAAGAGAGAATTCTAGACATGGCAATACTAGTGCTAAAACCAGTGGATTATTTTTCTGTTTCTAAGACCCCTTTTTGTTTCTAAAATGCTACTCAATAACTGAGTAACTACTGAGTAACTACTCAGCTTTAGGTATATAAGGAATCAGCTTAGTAGATTTCTTAAAAAAAAAAAAAATTCTCTCCTATAATGCTCAGATGAAATAAAAAACCCCCAACAAATAAACTCTAACAAAAAACCCCACAAACCCACTTAAAAGACCTCATTTGAAACACTTTCTCATCATTAGAAGCTCAAAGAGACCACTTACATTATTACAACAGCGCAGTCCTTGCTAGGTCCTATTGCACAACAGTTAACACTGTTCCCTGTATGTTGCCAGCCTCAATGACAGAAAGCTGCAGAAAAAACCCCAGCTATATACGTCCTCTTTAGCATTCAGTGCTGCAGGAATAAAAGAACCACTGAACAGACAGGCTGGCTTCAAAGCACTGAAATGCTTTACAGTCTATTCCTGCCGTTGGCTTTCGTTCCAGAGTTGTTAGTTATTCCTTCTGTTGTTTACACTAAATATTCATTAGTAAGACAAAACATAAGCTTATTTTATTTTAATATGCCAAAAATGAGGGAAAACACCCATATATAGATAAAAGATGGAATTACTGGCGATCATGGATGACTATTACACTGAATTGAAAACCTGGTGAGACAGCTCCCACTGGAACGTGTGGGGGTGGGTGGGAAATAAACAAACAAACAAATAAACAAATCACCCTTGTCCATTGGAAGGAATTCAGTTAAAATATGCTTTAGCTGAGCCCCAGGGTTTCACTTCCTCCCCCTCCCATTGCAGGCCTTTTGCTCAAAGAATCAGTGAACCAGAGTTTATAGTCTGAAGCAAGTTTCAAGCACGTCGTCTCCTTAAGAGCTACCTACTTTCAGGTAAGCTAAAACCCAATCTTCCTCTGTTGCAGAGTTATGCAAAATAAAAAATACAGTAGAATACTGAAGCAGTAGTGCCCAGAACAAGCCTACTGTACGTACCACAAGGCTGCATACATTAGAACATTAACTAGAGAGTGGCTTTTCCCTGGAACATCCTTGCCCTCCTCATGTCAGCTTACAGCTCTCCTTTCCAGGCTTACTCAGTCAATTCCCAGAACCCTACAGACAATTTGCTTCCTTGTGCTGGAGGTAGACACTTCATTGTTCCTCTCACGAGGGCACAGCAACTTTATTGAAGAGTGTTGTTTAAAATGAACAGATTTGAATGGTGTTAGCAGAGGAAAAAAAATGCAAAAAACCTAACCTCCAATACAGGAATTACAGCAAGTCTTGATACAAAAACCAGAGGTGCTAGGCCTGGCAATCACTTTTTGCTTAATCCCTCAACTGCTCAGCCAAGCATTCATAGGACAAGAATCCCATCAGTCTTCTGCATGCAATAAAAAAAAGATAAAATTAAAAATTAGGTACTAGTCTGATGAGATTTTCAACACAAACAGCTGAAAACTAAGTACATCTAACTTATATTCCCATGTGCCATTATGCTGACATTGTTACTGAAACATCAGTATGCCACACATCAGCCTCTAAAAATCAGATTCAATGGTTTTCTACAAGATACACTAAAACAGAACCAAAATCAGAAAAAAACCTTCCAAACCAAGGGAGGCCGGTGAGCTGGTCATTTAACAAACCCTTCTGGCTCGGCTGCTCTAACTCACACAAATGCTCACATCCCACCCAGCCTCCAGTAAGCACTGAACGAGCCGCCCCACGCTAAGGGTCAGGTGTCAAGGAGCGCGGTCAGGACGACTTCCCAATGTCCTGGCAGGCTGCCGATGACAAAGAAGGGCTCAAGAAGTTGCGACAGCTGGGCATTTTCTAGACGACTGAAGGGTGGCACAGGGAGACTCGCGGATTTCCTGTTACCTATTCCTGCTTCCACGTCCGCCCCCAAATGGCTCTGTACATGTGTGTGTGCATGTGTGCGTGTCGAAGGGACGGCGAACTCTGCCCAGCCACCGGCACGGCCAGCCCCGCTCCCCGTGTCCGGGGCTGGGACCGGCCACGCTCTGCGCACTCCACGGAGGGAAACTCACGCCTGTGGAAAGCCCCGCGCGCCCGGCTCCCTCCCGGCGTGGCAGTGGAAGCCAGCGCGATGGTCGCGGGGATATCGGGCAGCGCGGATGCTCCTCGCCCGCCCAGGGAGCCGGGGCACGGGGGGTCCGGTCCGCCCAGCCCAGCCCCGGACACGGTCCGGGCGTGGCGGCGGCAGTCGCAGCAGCAGCAGCTGGGGGCGGCCCCGGCGCGACAACAACAGAGGCGGCCGCCCGTGCCCGTGCCCGTGCCCGGCTGCGCTCCCCGGCACGGGCGGCGGAACCCACCCGCGTCCCGCCCGCCTCCCGCCGCCGCGGCGGCACTCACGCAGGCAGAGCTGGGTGACATAGGCGTAGTAGGACCAGCAGAGGATGCTGGAGATGAAGAGCACCGGCACCCAGTAGAGCAGCCGCTGGCAGCGCCGCCGCACGCCGCCCCAAGCGCCCGGCGCCCCGGCTGCCGGCGGCGCCGCCATCTTCCCGCACCGCATCCCGGCCGCTCGCTCCGGGGGCCCGGGCCCC